ATATTAATGAATCAAATATTAGAAAAACGTTCTTCACAAATACACAACGAAGAAGGTTTAAATCTCACCGGTAATTTATTACAGGAAATCCGGATATAATAACATTATGGAATTATAGAAGAGAAATATTTTTGTCGTTAAAAAACGACGAGGATTTGGAAAGTTATCAAAAACTATTGGAAAAAGATTTACAATTGACAGAACAGTGCCTAAGAGTAAATCCAAAATCCTATGGTAGTTGGCATCTTAGAATATGGATCTTGGACAATTTACCCAAACCTGATTGGAACAAAGAATTAAACCTTTGCACAAAATATCTTCAATTAGACTAAAGAAATTTTCACTGTTGGGATTATCGTAAGATAGTTGCAGAAAGATCAAATGTTTCTCATTTATCTGAATATGAATTCACTCTAACATGAATACTGTATTAAATTATGTATGTATATGTACATGTGTAATTATGGGAGGCAGGACCGAAAGTGATACCTCGGGAATGCCTCCCACATGGTTGAGGGGAGTATCCCAATTGGGTGGAGTGGATCTCTGCAACAGACCATGCGAGATCTGATGATTTCGGCTGTGAGAGAAGGGTTGAGGTTGAGGCTGAAATGGGAGTCATACTCCTGCGACTGCCCCTACTCCCCAGGAAAAAGTGCAGCAAAGCACATCCAGGAGTTTTAGTTGGGTAGTGACTTCGTCTGAGCCCCCCAACACTCTTCCTGCTACTGGGTGAGGAGAGGTTAGTGCGAAATGCTTCATTTCTCCTGGGTTAACAAAAAAAAATTTAAAACATATAATAATAATAATAATAATTTTTTTTTTTTTTTTTATTAGAATCTATAAAATTTATAGCAATTAAAAATATTATTTTTTGTGCCAATAATAATAATAATTATTATTATTCTGCATGTCTCTAATCCCTCTGTCCAGACAGCTTAATATCAAGGATCAAGGATATGAGTTGGTACCGGGAGGCAGGAAAATCACCCATATGCTGTATATGGAATACTTAAAAATTTATGCCAAAAATGAAAAGGAGTTAAATAAAATGCTAAGGACGGTTCAAACTTTTTCCTCTGACATCAACTTGAAATTTGGTTTGGAAAAATGTGCCAGAGTTAATATTGTCAGAGGAAAGTTAAAACGAAAGGAAAATATAGAAGACTCCGAAGAAGAACTTATTAAAGAATTGGACCCTGGATCAACATACAAATATCTGGGGATTGAAGAAAATTTTGGGGTAACCAACAAGGAAATTAAATCTCGATTGAAGAAAGAATATTTTAAAAGATTCAGGCTTATATTACAGTCGGAACTGAGTGGAAGAAATAAGTTACCATAACACCATCGGCACATTAGCAGTTCCAGTAATAGAATACAGTTTTGGCCTTGTCGAATGGACAAAAGGAGAAATCATGCACCTGGACCGAAGAACAAGGAAAATATTAACCATGAATGGTGCGTTACATCCAAAGGCTGATGTGGATAGATTGTACGTCAGCGGGAAAGATGGAGGAAGAGGATTAAGACAAATAGAAGCGGCATACCAAATCCGAGTCGTGAGTTCAATTATCTAAATTAAACGATAATAAAATTAATAATATAAATAATAAAATAATAATAATAATAGTCTCATCGGAGATGATAATAATCAAAACGATGATAATAATATTGAATTTAATAACACTCATAAATGAATGATAATAATAATGATGATGAAAAAAACGAGATATAAAAATAAGTATTTGAATATTATTATTTTTTTTTTTTCGTATTTTATTTTTAAAAGTTTTTTTATTTATTTTTAAACCTCGTTTTTTTTTTTTTTTTAAATATTTTAAATATCGAAACAAAACGCTAATATGAAAACTTTTATTATTATTAATATTATTAAAAGTTTGAATTAATTAATAATTTTCTATTATTATTATTATTTTGAACAGCCTGGCATTATCGTTGTGAAAGACAATTTCTTTGCTATTGGCTAGTTATGGTCGTTTTTCTTGGATGGTATCATTTAAATTTGTCAATTGTTGAATGTAAACCTCTGAATTTATGGTCTGACTTCAAGGCAGCAGCTAAAAGTTGACTATGCTTTTGTAATCCCACCAAAATGATAACAATAACTTTTTTGATGAATGTCAGCCTTAGAAGTTCTAAGGTGCCTGTTTCCTTGCCTAGACCAGGAACCTTTTCTCAAAAAGTCACCATAAACAACCTACTTTTCATCTCCGGTGACCATTCTTTCAAAAAAGGGTCATTCCCATTGCATTTAAGAAACATATCACAAAACCCATCAAGCTTCTTTTGGTACCAAAGTCGCCGCAGATGGTTTTTGACGCACGTATGTGACTCATCTAGCTTCTTTACAATGTCCTTAGTCGAAGTATGCCGATCATTATCAATGAGGGCCTTTATTTGCTCATCATTAACCTCCAATGGACGCCCGGAGCACTCCTCATTTTTCAAAGGAAAATTTCCAGAACGGAATTTCGCAAACCAGTTGTGACACTGCCGTTCTATTAAGGTTTCATCCCCCTACACGGCCCACAACTTTTTATTGGCTTGTGAAGCATTAACACCCTTTCAGAAATAAAAAAGCAAAATGTGGAGGAAATGCTCGCTTTGGCTCCCCATGTTTAAATGTCTTTTGCTCGCGCACTATTTAAGAGTTCAATTGAAATTTTGGTACTGAATGTTACAGAAGGAACCAAGTAATAACATACCAAAAGTTCATGTTTGTACATAAACGTAAACGTACTCAAAAAAATGGACAAACTATCTCTTAGTAACATGCGAAGTTACTTACTGGCCAACCCAATAATTTACATAAAACAAATTATTTAACGAAAATATTTATGTATTGGCTACTTTAAAAGCTTCCATATTTTTATAAGTTCCACGTTAAAGTGAAATACATTTTTCTAATGACACTTTATTTACCATCGATATAATTAAGTTTAAATTGATGTCTATGGTTGTTTACATATATTACTATTATTTTTACTATTTCCCATTGTGAGTTATTTTTCCTGTATTAATTTCAAATAAAAATCGTAAAATTTGTTTTTAAAAAAATTACAAAATGCACGGGAGAGTCAAAATAAGAACGACAGAAGAACAAAAAGAAATCGCAAGGCAAGAGAAACAGAAAAAGGCAATAGAATTTAAAAAAATAATGAATCAAATATTCATTAAAAAATTCATTCAGAAAAACGTTCTTGACAAATTCAAGACGAAGAAGGTTTAAATCCTCACCGGTATTTGGATTACAGGAAATCTGGATATAATAACATTA